TTCTGTAGAAAAGGTAAATGAAAAAAAATATTTTATAGTAATTGTCCTTTTCTAAAATCTTGAACATAAGAAAATTATAAAAAAATTTAATAGTAATTATCCTTTTTTCAAATATTAAACAAAAAAATATTTGTAGAATAATTATTTCAAATATTATTTATGTTCTTCTCTTCTTAAACTGATGATAATTTTTAATATATATACTAAGATATAAAAACAAATTTTGAAGATATTAATTGTAAAAAAATTAAAGTAGAAAGAAAAAGTGAAAAGTATTTAAATTTAATTTTTATTTTCACGAATCCTAAACAAAATATTTAAAATAATAAAATTTTAATTTAAAATATTGTGCAGAAGTAAAAAAAGAAAGAGTGTTTAATTGTAGTTTTCTTTTTCGAAAATCCTAAACAAAATTACAAATTCAAAAACTGGGAAAAACTAAAGAAATTGTGTAAATAATATAACTTGAATATCTTTTTAATACTACATAAAAATAAACCCACAACATCTGAATGTAGAATTTAATGTTTAGTGTTTAATATTTAAGGAATGAAATTAAGTTTATAAAATTATATAAAAATTCCAAGTGATATATATGATATTAAATGACATATACTTAATATGAAATTAGAAGAATTTCTTAATTACCTCTAAGATCGTCTTCTTCGACTTTATTATTATATATAATAAAATAATTTGTTTATTTATTTTAAGATTTATTATCACAAAATTCAGAAGTGATATTCAATCTTATTACAATATATAATAAAATATGTTGTTTATTTATTTTAAGATTTATCATCACAAAATTAAGAAATGATAGTTGTATGATATTTTCATTGACTTGATTGATTTATTTAACTTTCAATTATTTTTGTATTTCACTCTTATTCTTAATTCAAGCTGAATTTGGTTTAAATTTTTAGGTATGAATATTTTCTGTGAGCTTAGTTACAAAGTTAAAAACAATACACTTATGTGCCATAATTATTAAAATACAAATATTAACTAAAATTTATGTGCGTAAAAAATTCAAAATTCTGAAATAAATCTCACACAACATATAGAAAAATAATCCTAAAATATTAAATAATTATTATTTTGTGTTCTTTGTAAAATAAACACATCAAATAAAATATTTGCTTATTAAAATACAAACATTAACCAGAACTTTTATGGAAAAAATCATTTGTAATTTCTAAAATAAATTTTTACACAACATATGCAAAAAAAAAACATGAAATTGTTATTTTTCTATTTTATAAATATTAAAAGATCAAATAAAATTCTTGCAACGCACGGGTCCATATCTAGTTATATATAAATGATACAATAACAGTATATTTTAGAGTTAAAATATCAAATCAACATGTCAAAAAGTGAAAAACATACAAAATGTAATATTGCTGACCAAAAAAAAAAGAAAAGGTGGATAATAATGGTTGAGAAACCCACGAGCAGAGACGGAGAGTCCGCTTCTATTATTCTGCCTTCCACTCCTATCAAAAATCTTCAACAAAACAAAACCTCCTCCTTCAAATCTCGTCCTCCTATATGATTCCTATCTCTCTCCCTCTACACAGACGAAACAAAAGAAAATATATCAATATTTGTCCTTCAACTTTTCGTAATTCTGTTATTTTCTCTTCGCGCAAGCCAAGAACTCATCCCAAACCCTAATCCGGTCTCCTCGATCTATTGGCTTTTGGCTTCGATTTGATTTGATTGTTTGTATTGCTTTTGGATTTTTGATTGCTCGGATTCTCCAGGCGATATGAGTAATCAGAAGAAGAGGAATTTCCAGATAGAGGCGTTCAAGCACCGCGTGGTGGTGGATCCAAAGTACGCCGATAAAACGTGGCAGATTCTCGAACGTGCGATCCATCAGATTTACAATCAAGACGCGAGCGGACTCAGCTTCGAAGAGCTTTACAGGTAACCGATAGAATCTGTAACTGTAGAATGATTTTTGGAATGCATATTATAATTTGATTTGTGGCTTTCAGAAACGCGTACAACATGGTCCTACACAAGTTTGGTGAGAAGCTCTACACAGGATTCATCGCCACCATGACAGGTCATCTCAAGGAGAAGGCTAAGATGGTTGAATCAGCTCAGGGAGGAGCTTTTTTAGAAGAGCTTAACAACAAGTGGAATGAGCATAACAAAGCTTTGGAGATGATAAGGGATATTCTCATGTATATGGATAGGACTTATATTGAGAGTAGTAAGAAGCCTCATGTTCATCCCATGGGGCTTATTTTGTGGAAGGACAACGTTGTGCATTCTCCTAAGATAGATAAGAGGCTTCTCAACACGCTTCTTGATCTTGTTCACAAGGAGAGGGTTGGTGAGGTTATTGACAGAGGGTTGGTCAGGAATGTGACTAAGATGTTTATGGATTTGGGGGAGGCTGTGTATCAGGAGGATTTTGAGAAGCCTTTTCTGGAGGCTTCTTCTGAGTTTTATAAGGTTGAGTCTCAGCAGTTTATTCAGGCTTGTGATTGTGGGGATTATTTAAAGAAGGCCGAGAAGCGTTTGACTGAGGAGATTGATAGGGTGGGACATTACTTGGATGGTAAGAGTGAGGCTAAGATTACTAGTGTGGTTGAGAGAGAGATGATTGCTAATCACATGCACAGGCTCGTTCACATGGAGAATTCTGGTCTTGTTAATATGCTGTTGAATGATAATTATGAGGATTTGGGTAGGATGTATAACTTGTTCCGTAGGGTTACTAATGGTCTTGCTACTGTCAGAGATGTTATGACATCGCATTTAAGGGAGATGGGGAAGCAACTGGTTACTGATCCCGAGAAGTCCAAGGATCCGGTGGAGTTCGTGCAGCGTTTATTGGATGAGAGGGATAAGTATGATAAGATCATCACCACTGCGTTTGGGAACGATAAAACGTTTCAGAACGCTTTGAATTCTTCCTTTGAGTATTTCATCAACTTGAATGCTCGTTCTCCTGAGTTCATCTCCTTGTTCGTTGATGACAAGCTAAGGAAAGGACTCAAGGGTATTGCTGATGTCGATGTGGAGGTCATCCTTGATAAAGTTATGATGCTGTTCCGCTACTTACAAGAGAAAGACGTGTTTGAGAAGTACTACAAGCAGCATGTGGCTAAAAGGCTTCTCTCTGGAAAAACAGTGTCTGATGATGCAGAGAGGAGTTTGATAGTGAAACTGAAGACTGAATGTGGCTATCAGTTCACTTCCAAGCTAGAAGGCATGTTCACTGACATGAAGACTTCAGAGGACACGATGCGAGGGTTTTACAACAGCCACCCTGAGCTTTCAGAAGGACCAACACTTATCGTTCAGGTTCTCACAACTGGTTCTTGGCCTACACAGCCTGCAGTACTTTGTAATCTCCCAGCTGAAGTTTCGGTTCTCTGTGAGAAGTTCCGTTCTTATTACCTTGGAACCCATACCGGTAGAAGATTGTCATGGCAGACTAACATGGGCACAGCTGATATCAAAGCCGTATTTGGAAAAGGTCAGAAACACGAACTAAACGTGTCTACTTTCCAGATGTGTGTCCTCATGCTGTTCAACAACTCAGACAGACTCAGCTACAAGGAGATCGAACAAGCTACTGAGATCCCGGCACCTGAACTTAAACGTTGCTTGCAGTCACTTGCGTGTGTGAAAGGCAAAAATGTGATAAAGAAAGAACCAATGAGCAAAGACATAGGAGAGGATGATTTGTTTGTGGTGAACGACAAGTTCACGAGCAAGTTTTACAAGGTGAAGATAGGAACGGTGGTGGCGCAGAAGGAGACAGAACCGGAGAAGCAGGAGACGAGACAAAGAGTGGAGGAAGACAGGAAACCTCAGATTGAAGCAGCGATTGTGAGGATCATGAAGTCGAGGAAGATACTGGACCATAACAACATAATAGCAGAAGTGACGAAACAGTTGCAGCCACGGTTCTTGGCTAACCCTACGGAGATAAAGAAGAGGATCGAGTCGCTCATTGAACGTGATTTCTTGGAAAGGGATAATACGGACAGGAAACTTTACCGTTATTTAGCTTGATATGTTGTATACCACAACAACGACAAAGAAGAGGCTTCCCTCTTTGTTTTATTTTGCTTCGTGTTTTTTGTTTTAATGTTGGTGTAAAAGGGAACGAACAGTGTGTTGATGGCGTTAGTCAAATATACATTTGGTTCTTTTTCTGTGTTTTATTTTGGACATTGATTCATTTACGAAAAGTTTAAAGACATGTTTACTAAGCGTCTAAGCTCTGTTTACATGATCCTATTTCTGAATTTATTCAAATTAGTGGTAACATTCTCAGCTCGCAATTTGATGATTGGTTTTTAATCCTGTTTAAATAAAAGTATTATTTTTCTAATAATTGGAAAAACATATCAATAATAAATAATATAAAAATCAAACACCTTATTTTCTTTCATTTACTGCACTTTTATTCAGCTGCCTAAAAGTAAGTCATTTTGATCATAATATGAATGTTATATGGGCCGAGTCAAGACCTTCTACAAAGCCCATTTACGAAAGGCTTGAGCGAAAACAAAATTTCAAGCGCGGCTAAAATTTTAGTTAGTCCCGCTAAACGTTGGCAACCTTTTTATCTTTTTTTAGTCGCAATTCTCAATTCTCATTTCCGTTGACATCTCTTGTAAATATCTACCTCTGGGATCTTGTCTTTTTTTTTTTTTTAATCTCAACAATCACCGGCAAGAAAAGATATGGATATTTCCAACATAGCTAGATAGCTAGATCTCTCTAATATATTGGTATATTTACAATTAAACATATATAAAAACTAGTTCTCATGTATATTCCAATTAATCTTTGATTTTTGGTAATTCGTTCGGTTCGGATTTGCAGCCCTACTAGTGCCTAGGATAGTTCGAAACAGGGAACTAGTATATCGTTAGGGTAGAAAACAAACGGCACCAAGATAATACAAGAGTGGTAGTTTTATTCATTTTCTTTATACTGCAAATTTAAATTACAAAAGACTATCAATTGGCACGTTTCATGACGGGGATTGCATAAAGTGGGTTGGTCTTATGCAGAGTAAGACCAAAGCTCTCGTCCATGTCCAGATCCTCAGGAAGGACACTGTTTTGAAGCTGCCACTGAAAAGAGTGAAGAAGAGAAGCAAGAATGAGAGGTACGGTCTTCATAGCCAACGACATTCCAGGGCATATTCTTCGTCCAGCCCCAAACGGTATCAGCTCAAAATCTCTACCTTTCACATCAATGTCCCGTCCCATCAAAAATCTTTCTGGCTCAAACCGCTCTGCGTTTTCCCAAACGCTCGAGTCTCGTCCTATAGCCCAAGCATTTACCAAAACCTGAGCATTCTTAGGCACGAGAAACCCAAAAACCTCTACATTTGACTCGGCTTTGTGTGGGGCAAGAAGTGGACCCGGTGGGTGCAAACGGAGAGTCTCTTTCACTAATGCTTGTAAATACGAAAGATCCGACATGTGTGTCTCCTCAACGACACCATTTGGACCTACCACATATCGTCTATCTCGGCTTGAGCTTTAGCCATTGTCTTAGGGTTGCGAAGTAGCTCAGCCATTGCCCATTCCACCACAGTGGAGTTTGTATCAGTCCCTCCAAGAAACATGTCCTGAGACATACAGATATATATATATATAAGTACTATGTAGCTAGGTTTGACATGGCTCGGTCTTATTATTTCAATATATCCTGTTATCTTTTGAAAAATAAAAGCAACAATGAAAGCAAAACTCGTCACAGAGATGAGTATTAAAATAGTATATAAATAGCACGTACGTAGAGAAAGTGTTTGATATCGTTCACGTTGAGCTCGGATTCATTTCCTTTGACTAAATCCATAAGCGAATCCAAGAGATCACGTTCAGCCCTCGTTGCTTTCTCATTGTTCCGAGCATCGATGAACCCTTGAAAAACCTGAAACAACATATCTGAGCATACCTTCATCTCTTTCCGGATACCTTGCATATCAAGAAACCCTATAAGCGGGAAGTAGTTGGCTAGGTTTGGTTTCCCAATGGTTTCCATTATACGAACCACCGATTCTTGGAGCTCCATGGAAGTTTTTAGGTCATAACTACCCAAGTCGGTCGAAAAGAAAGTGTTTGAGATTATATTGAGTGATGTGACGAATGAGGCACGAGCAATGTCGACGGACTCTCCTCTTTCGCATATTTTGCTCATAAAGGTTACAAGTTCATTCACTTTCTTCATGCGCACGGACTTGTTGGCGTCCAGACACTGCGGGGAGAACATGTGAGTCGCTGATATCTTCCTCCATAACCTATGTGGAACATCATAGAGCCAATCCATCGTCAGTCAGTATAGAAACTAGGCCAATGCATTTTTTTCCAAATGGAAAAACTGACCGGAAAAATGAATGGAAACCGAACTGTAACTTAAACAGTTTCTAATTCTATAAATCCAAAGACCCAAAACCAAAATTTATAAACTAAAAAGTTACTCAAACATCCGAATTACCCAAATATTAGTATCCCAATTACATAAAAGTATTTAAATTACTTTGATATTTAATCTTAGCAATTTAAATTATCGGATCGAGTTATCCGATATTTTTTTTTGAGTTATCTGAAGTTACCCGAAAAATTCGAACGAAACCAAATCCAATTTTTGGTATTAGTCGATTCCTAATATTTTTACCCAAACCGAAACCAAATTTTATAAAATCTTGAACGGTTTCTATATCTGTAACTTCAAAAGAAACAAAACTGAAAAATTATAACTGAACCGAACCGCTGAACGACAAGGAAACCAAACGTACACGCGTTGGGATAGACAGCCCTTAAACGACCAAACTATTGTTACAAATGTATTCTATTACGATTTTTTTTTTTATAACACTTGGAAAAAAGATTGTACAATAATGGGTACAGGAAATACATAGAGCAAATTAAACTAAAAAGATGGGAGATCAGTAGACCCCAACAGCATGAAAGGAAGCTTACCTAGCTGATCCCTTATTTTTGAACCTCCAAAGCGAGAAGATGAAAGAGCCAGGCCGGGGCATGTCTGGCTATGTATGATNGAAATACATAGAGCAAATTAAACTAAAAAGATGGGAGATCAGTAGACCCCAACAGCATGAAAGGAAGCTTACCTAGCTGATCCCTTATTTTTGAACCTCCAAAGCGAGAAGATGAAAGAGCCAGGCCGGGGCATGTCTGGCTATGTATGATTGGTGGCGCTGATCACGAGTGACACTTATGGCGATAGCCGCTGCTGCTTCATTGCGATCTTGGAGGGCATGATCCAGACTCCATATGTCTATCCTTGCCAGGAGAGAGAGTATATTATGGCATATGAGGCGGTAGTCATAGGGATGTTGGTTCTCAGGCTGTGTGAGAAAATTATGGAGGTTGACGGACGATGTCTCAAAAATAATTTTTGAGAAGTGTAAATTAGCCATACATTCGACCGCCCAAAACAAAGCCCATAAATCAGCTTCAGTTTTTGT